AAAATACTTTATGTAGCAAGAAAGAAGCAAATATATTTGAAGGAACTCTGTACAAAATAGTGCTTCAGGGGTGGAGAACCTACAGGCCTTGAGGCCACATGTGGCCTTCTAGGTCCTAGGGTGCAGCCTTTTGCCTGAGTCTAAGTTTTACAGAAAAATCCTTTTATTAATGGGATTTGTTCTGTGAAGTTTGGATTCAATCAAAGGGCCACACTTGAGGACCTAGAGGGCCATATGTGGCCTTGAGGCCACAGGTTCTCCACTTCTGTGCTAGACCATCTACCTGTGAGAAAAGAAGAGGATATGTGTGGGGAGGGATACCAGAAAGTATGATGTTCCATGGGTTCAAAACCAAGGAGAGCTGCAGATAGAAAATAGTTACCTGGAAAATTCTGATCTGAGCCCTCTATAAAGTAAGGCTTTTAAAAGATTTTATTACTCTACCCCATAGTCAAGGCCCATAGGTCTAGGCTGAGAGAAGAGAAACAAATGAAACAGGGATCAGATTGTTCCAAGCCAAATAAGCAAACAAAAACCTGCAGATACCTAATAATGATTTCTGTCCTTTCCCTGCTAAAAGGGGATCCTAGAGTCTGAGGACCCCTGAGGGTTCTGTGGACTGATATCAAAAGATCTGTGAACTTGGATGAAGAATATAATACTATGTATTTGAAAACTTTATTCTGAGAAGGGGTCCATATGCTTCACCATACTGCCCAAGGGATCTATAACATGCAGAAAAAAGGTTAAGAAAACCCATCATAAAAGAATAGAAGGGGGGAAAAGTAATTGTAACAAGATTTGATGGAGAGAAAAATAAAATTAACAATAATAATTTTGAATGTGAATATAGTATATTTACCCTTAAAATTGCATAGGGTGCCAAAATGAAGAAGAAAACAAAACCAAGTAGTTTGCTACATACAAGGAACATACAAATGTGATTTATATGGAGGCAAGTAAGGTGTAAGAAGTTTAGAAAAGTTGAAGGGAGCCAAATTTTGAAGGACTTTGAATGCCAAATAGAGAATATTTTATTTGCTCCTGAAGATGACAAAGAGCTACTAGAGTTTATTGCAGAGGAGGGTGACATGGTCAGACAGACCTGTGCTTTAGGAGGATCTCTTTTACAGCTGAGTGGAGGATGGACTGGAGTGAGGAAAGACTGGAGAAAGGGAGACAAATCACCAAAAAAGCAAAAACAAAACCAAAAAAAAACAAAGCTAGTGTAATAGTCTGGGCTTGAGGTGATGAGGGCCTATGTCAGGCTGGTGAAAGCATCAGAGGAGTGAAGGGAACGTATGTAAGAGATGTAATCATGGAAAAATTAATAGGATTTGGCGATAAATTGAATTGTGAGCTGAAGGAGAATGAGGAGTTGAAGTTGACACAATAACTGGGAGGATGGTGGTACCCTTGACAGTAATAGAGAAGTTTGGAAGAGGGGAAGGTTTAAGGGAAAAGATAATGAATTCAGTTTTGTCCTTATTGAGTTAGTTGAAGGTATAAGACTGGAAGTCAAGAAAGAGGTTAGGGCTGGATAAACTAAATCTGACAATCATCAGCAAAGAGATGATAATTGAATCCATGGGAGCTGATGAGATCACCAAGTGCAATAGTGTTGAGGGAAAAGAGAAGAGGACTCAGGACAGAACCCTGAGGGATCCACCCACTTTAGTAGGCATAACCTGGATGAGGATCCAGCAAAGGAGACTGAGGAAAGATCTTGACTTTTGTCTTGCCACTAGACTTTGATGACTCTGGAGTGAAAGTGAAGGCAAAACTTCACACAGCTCTGCCTCACTTGAACCCAATTTATGTGTGAGTCAAAAAATAGCACCCATGCCATTTTATCATTTTTAACTACCTCAAAGTATTGTGGCAACAGGCAAGTGACAAAGCAGCAGGTGTGGATACGTTGGGAGCTGTAGTCACAACCCTGCATGCAGGAAGCTCAGGACGGAGTCATCATCTCACTGGGCTGAAGCAGCAGTGGGATTCAGCAGCCCCTGGGGGTCTGAACAGCCTTTTTTTAAAAAAAGATCACATTGCTCACCTCTTAGCATGAGTAAGGGGCTAGAAAAGCCCTAAAAATTGCCTGCTTCACCCAACCCTGGCCTGCTTACCATGTCAGGAAGGGATCCCACCCTGTGGTCAAAACACACACACCAAAAAAAAATGTACAAAAACTTTTGCAAAGATGATTCCATTCACCATTGGTACATGGAATGTGCACATACTTATGGACAACATGAAATCCAGTAGACCTGAAAAATGAATAGCCCCTTGTAAGTGAACTCAGCAGGCATTGCATCCAAATAGCAGTCCTGAGTGAAATAAGTTTGGAGAATGAAGGCCAGCTTACCAAAGTCAGAACTGGATACATGTTTTTCTGGAGTGACCACTGTGATAGGGAGTGCTGTGAAGCCGGAGTAAGTTTTGCAGTCAACACTAATTTAGTCAACAGGCTTGTATGCCTCGCAAAAGGAGTGAACAAGGAGCTCATGACAATGTGACTGCCACTTGCAGAAAAGTGCCATGCCACCATCATCGGGGCATATGCTACCCCATGTCGAACCCTGATGAACTCAAAGAAAAATTTTATGAAGACCTGGAGACGCTCCTCATCAATGTGCCAAAAGAAGACAAGCATGTAATTCTGGGTGACTTTAATGCCAGAGTAGGCACAGATTATCAGACATGGCAGGGAGTCCTTGGGAGAAATGGAGTCAGAAACAGCAACAGCGGTAGTCACTTACCACTGAAAACTTGTGTCTTGTGACCTTCTTGTCACCAACACTGCCTTCTATTTACCTAAATGTAATAAAACTTGGTGGATGCACCCTCACAGCAGACATTGGCATTGTAAGAAGAGACAGGATATGAGAGAAAGGGATGTGTGGCTCCGAGTGCTGGACTGATCATAGACTTATCCTTGTTAAACTAAACATTCACATTCAACAAAAGTGGTGGCCCCAAGGCAAGAGAAGTACCAGAACTTAATGTCAACAGATTAGAACATTTCTCTGTGGGTGAAGTTTGTTGCTAACTTAGAGGGAACTATTAAGTAATTTTGAGTTAGAGAATGACATGGTCAGATTTGTGTTTTAGGAATATCAGTTTAGAAACTGGAGATGATGATTTGGAAAGGAATGAATGAGAATACTAATCAGGAGGGACATAGACATTTAGCAATCTTTCTTTTTCAGGAAATGCCTGAATACTTCTTGCAAAGTAGTCTCTTGCATAGAAACAAAATAATCCTTTTTTTCTTCTTTTTCTTTTTGCTAAGTACATAGACATGGAACCTGGAATCCTGAATTCCAGCAGCTAATTGTCTAGTTTTCTTGGAATGTTGTATGCCTGAAGGGAGTAATGTCAAATAAGTATGAGAAGTTAAGTTGGAATTACATATAGATGGCCTTATATATCAAGTTAACAAGGTTCAGGTACAGATGGAAGATGATGAGCTATAGTTTTGAAATGTTGAATTTTAGATGCTAATGAGACATTCAGATAGTAATGTCCAGAAGGCCATGGATGATTCAGTATTAGAGTACAAGAGTACTCTAGTACAAGTAGGGGTGGATATACAAATCTGAGTCATTTTCTTAGAAGTGACTATTGAACCCAGGAGTGTCTGAGAGCAAAGAGACAGCCTGTAGGGAAAGGAGAAAGGGGACCAAGCTTTATCTTGAGGGAGCCTTCATACTTAGCCAACGGGAAAGTGATAATGAGCCAGAAAGAGGAAAAAGGTGGTAGAAACATGAAAAAAGGAGTATCACAGAAGCCAAGGAAGGAGAGAATATCTAGAAGAAACCTTTACAGAGGCAAGTTCTAATAAAGATTGAGGAAAAGGTCATCAGATTTAGCAGCTAGGTGACCATGAACTGAGAAAATTAGCCTCCCCACCTCCTTTGAAATGGGGCACTATAAGTGTGGAATATTACATATTTCCATATGTAGTTGAAGAGTTGGTTTTACTGAACTGCTTTTTCTATCTCTTATAAATTCTTTGTTAGAAAAATTGGGAGGGGAGGAATCGGTTTGGAAGTGATGTAAAAGCAAAAGCTATCAAAAAATAAAAACAAAAAATTGAGGCTTTGGAGAAATTTTGACTGAGTATGGAAGCTGGAAACCACATTATTGTGAGTGGTTCATGAGGAAGTGGACGTAATGAGACTAGACAATACTGTCTAGGAGCTTGCCAATGAAAGAGTATTTAAAGAGATGGCAATAACAGCAACACTGTGCGATGACTGACTTTGTTAGTCTTAGATCTTTTGGGCAATGAAATGATCAAAACAGTTCCAAAAGACACATGATGTTAGCAATATTATGGGAAAATTAATCCATATAAAGGAACATGCTGTTTTCAAATATTGTGTGCATTTGCATATGAATGGTTAATATGATCATTTAAAATATATCTTACCTCCTCATGTAGTCCAGTAAACTCAATGAACTATTTTTTTATAATACTTTGTCAGTGTGTACTTTGAGTTCTGTTTGGTATTTTGCCCACTTTTTCTTTATCTCATCTAGCTAACATATAGCACACAAACAACAATGGTATTATGAACAACAAAAAACATATCAAGCATATGCTAATACCTTTTTCATATTAATAGGATTATAGATTTTATTCTGGAAGGGACCCTGGAAGTTATTGAATCCATCCTCCTCATTTTATCAATAAGGATGCTGAGATCTAGAAAGGTTAAATGACTTGCCCAGGATCATATAAGTAATAAGTGTCTGAGGCAGTATTCAAACCCAGGACTTCCTGACTCCTAGTCCAACACAGTACTATACCAGCTGCCTTTATATTATTTATCAATGGTTTCTTTTTAAATTTACTGTGCCTGTCTTCAGTTGGGGAATTGTGCACTTTTAACATGTGATGGCTGAAAAGTATCTTTTCTGGTTGTTAGATTATCCTTTTAATGAAATATAATCACTAATAATGCAGTCACTAACTTGAAACATTTTACTTGTAGATTTTGCTGAAGAATCCTGCCTTTATGTGTTTAGTTCTATCCACCACCACAGAAGCCTTGATTACTACTGGATTTGCTACCTTTTTACCTAAATATATAGAAAATCAATTTGGAAAGTCATCCAGCTATGCAGCTACCCTTGGAGGTAGAGTTTCCTCCCCATTATATTAACATTATTAGATTTAACTTTATCCTAAAATCATAAGCTAATCTTAAATGTCTTTATTGCTAAAACTTTTAGTTTATACAAATTTTAATGTGGCCCTTGTCAAAATGTCTAAGTGTATAAAAGAAAAGCTTCTATAAAATAGAAATGGAGAGGCAACATGGTATAGTGGATAGACAGTCCAACTTAGGCCTTTGATTAGGGAAAACCTGGTTCAAGTCCCATTTCTGATACACATTGGCTGTGTGACCCTTGCCAAGTCACTTAACCTCTCAGAGATTTCTTTTGGACTATTAAATTGTATGGTAGATGCTGATCTGTTTTGATAGAGGGAATTTCCCCATCTAGAGTTCTTGATATCAATGAAATCACAGGTCTGGATTGAAAAAAAAATTGAGCCAAAGTTAAATTAATAAAACTAAAAGTGGAATAACAAACGTTGGAATAAGAAAGAACCCTAGAGGTCATAGTTTAAGCTTCTCAATTTTAGAGATGAGGTAACTGATATCTAATTTCATTAAGCTTTAATATCTTTGTCACAAATTAAAGGGTTTTTTAAAAATTATTTTATAACTTCTACCTAGCAGTGACAGGTTATTGGATGTTTTGGTGCATTTGGCCTTTTGATAGATGGTTCTTTTAGGGATATAATTTAGCAGAAGGGAGTCTCCAGAATCCTCTTCTCTCCAGAATTACCTTTAAAAAAAAATCTGCTTCCTTTCCTATGACTTTTCTGATTTCTCTCTTGGCTTTTACTTTCCTCTCACATTTCATTTTCCTTTTGTCTCTTCTTTCTTATTCTCTTTCACCCCTTTCTTGTTTTTTTCTTCTACTTTCCCAATTCTGTTGCTTGTCTTTTTGGGGGAGGGAAAGATCTGCCATTGCTAGCTAGTTGAGCAAATGATTTACTTTTTTTCTGAATATCATTGTGAATTGTTTTGTGATTGACTGTGTCTCATTCATATTCTAATGTTGGGCTTTTTTTCTTTTTAGGGATTGTTTTAATACCAGGAGCAGCTCTTGGGCAGATTTTGGGGGGTGTCATTGTTTCCAGGTTCAAAATGTCTTGTAAAGAGGCTATGAAATTTGCAGTACTTTCATCTACAGCATCTTTTTTGCTGACTATGACTCTAATTTTTATGAAATGTCCAAATGAGGCTTTTGCTGGAGTTTTTCAACCATATAAAGGGTAAATATATCTTAATATCTTTTTTGATATTTTAACATCATAGTCCAAAAACATGTTTATTAGTCATCATCAAGTATTTACTAAGTAGGTACTATATGTGTTCAATATTAGATGAAACACTATAAATCATAAGACGTGGCTGCTGCTTTCAAGGAGCTTGAAATCATGTGAAGACAAATCCAATATTTGTGAAGATTTGGAGGATATTAAAAATGATAATGACAGTAACAATAGCAAACATAGCAATTTAAATTTTGTGCTTACTAATTGTACAAGAAAAATTTGGAGAAGAAAGAATTGTATTAGTGTTGTCTTCCCCGCCTTTGATACTTGGGGACTTCAGTGATATCCCATCCTTCCAATCCCTCAACTTCCTTCATAACAGTAATAGTTAATAATAGAGATTTAAGGTTTGTAAAGTGCTTTACAAATATCTCATTTTGTCCTCACAGTAAATCTGTGAGATAGGTGCTATTATTATCTCCATTTTATAGATGGGGAAACTGAAGCTGAGTAACTGAAATTAAGTGACTTTCTCAGGGTCCTATAGCTAGTAAGTGTCTGAGGCCATATTTGAACTCAAGGCTTCAAGCCTGACTCCAGGTTCAGTGCTCTATCCATCATACCACCCATCTGCCTCAACTCTCAAAATCTACACCTTTATTCCATCTTATTGGTATACAAGATTTTTTTATTTTTGACCAGCACCTTTGGTCTACTTCAGTAGGAATTCTAAAATTCCTCTCTGACCAAAACTTCCTATTTGTCCTGACATCTCATTCTTTCTAAACTAATTCATCATTCTCATCATAACTACTGGTCCTTGCAAGGTTCAGTGCCCTTCCAGACCAAGACCCCCTGCCCTGGCCTTTCCTTCCTTCTCAAACTTGGCTCAGGTTATCTGGTTTTGCAGTTATAAAGCCTGTCCTCTTGAATTCATTAACTTCTTCTTTTACTGGTTGTGCCTTGCTAAAACCCATTACTTGGTGACTGCTATCATCTCTTTCTCTACCCTGTTCACCTGTGCTGGAGGAAATCACACAATTGGGCCAACTAGGCCTCCTACAACTGTCCTCTAGTCTCATTACTGCAGGCAGTCCTTTTATTCTTCCCTAATTTACCTTCTATTGTAGTTCCCATGGAAACTGTTTAGAAACTTCTCTCAGGTGTCCTACAGTATCCCATCTTACCCCCTCAGCAGAGGACCTTGCCTCATATTTAACTATAAAAATAGAACATTTGTCCTGAGTTCCTTCTTTTCCCTTTTGTATACCTCAAAACCTTTTTATACCTTCCTTCACCCCATTCTTTGAGAAAGGTGTGACCCTTCTGCTGTCAAAGGCCACTGTTTCTGCTTATTCCCCTGAACTCATCCCTTCTCATCTCCTCCAGGAGATTGTATAACAAAATCCTGTGTAGAATGCTTATTATATTTGCAAGTGACAGAAACCTGAGAGGAATAGCTGACTACTGTAAAGCAAGCTGAAATGTTATCATTAATTAATTATCCCATAACAAAATATAATATAAAATTTGGATTTCCTAAAGCCCACCAACAAGAAATTTATTTGTGGGGCAGCTAGGTGGCACAGTGGATAGAGCTCTGCCCTTGGAGTCAGGAGGACCTGAGTTCAAATGTGACCTCAGACACTTACTCACACTTGCTAGCTGTGTGATCCTGGGCAAGTCACTTAACCCTTATTGCCTCACCAAAAAGGAAAAAAAAAAAGGAATTTATTTGAAGGTGTGCATTCACTGCCTTCTCCAAATGCTATAGTATATACTTTCATGGAACATTCACATACAAGCTTAGAATATTCTCCCTTCCACTGTTCAGAATTCTTGATATTCTAAAATTTTAGGTCAAAGATAGTAAGTTAAAATTTATACCTTATAGAGGATAAATTCAAATGTAGGGAGATATCTATATCTATAGATATATATAGATATAGATATAGATATAGATATAGATATAGATATAGATATAGATATAGATATAGATATAGATATAGATATAGATATAGATATAGATATCTCCCTATATTTGAATATATATGTATATGTACATATATACATATAAATGTACATATACATATATATATATACACACCCCTTATACGTTGGTTCAGATAATATCCTTACAAGTACAAGATGAGGAAGGTCTTACTAGATAGTAATGTCTTTGAAAAAAAATCTATGGGTTTTAATTGAATGATTATAGCAGTGAAGAAAGTCAATATGATCATTGCTTGCATTTAAAAAGGCTTAGAAACCAGGGATATGAGAGAGAGGCCTGATGTACTCTGCCCTGGTCACACCACATGTAAGATATTGTATTTATTCACAGGGCTGTATTTTAGAAAAGCCAGTGATAAACTGGAGAGCCTCTAGAGCAGATAGTCAATATGTATTTATTAAGCACCTGTTATGTTCTGGCACTGTGCTAAAGTGATGGGCATACAAAGAAAGGCAAAAAACAGTTCCTATTTTTCAAGGAGCATGGACTCTAATGTATGATGGGGAAGACAACATGCAGACAACCATGTGATATACAGGACAAATTGGAGATAACAGAAGGGAGGTACTAGAATTAAGGAGAAATCTTCTCATAGAAGATGAAATTTTAGCTTGAACTTGAAGGAAGCAAGAGCATCCAGGAAGTAGCTATGGAGAGGGGAGAGTATTTTAGACATGGGGAACAGTTAGTGAAAATTCCCAGAGTCTAGACATAGCCTGCCTTGTGTGAGAAACAGCAAGAAGGCCTGTGTCACTGGATCACAGGGCATAGGGGAGCAGGAAGTAAAGGTAGAAGAAGACTGGCTAGGTTCGAAAGGATGAGGTTATGAAAGACTTTGAATTCCATACAGAGTCTTGCTCTTAGAGGTGATAGGGAGCCACTGGTATTTATTGAAGAGGGGGAAGTAATATGGTCTGACCTGTGCTTTAGAAAGATTAATTTGACCGCCAAGTGGAGGATGAACTTGAATAGGGAGACTTGAGGCAAGGAGGCAAACAAGAAGTTGGGCATTAGCTCAAGTATGAGATGGTGGAGCGAAGTGCGGACAGACTTGAAGCAGGGAGAGCAGCCATAAAAGCTATTGCAGTAGCCAGTCATGAGGTGATGAAGGCCTACACCAGGATGGTGGCAGTGTCAGAGGAGAGAAGTGAAGTAGATGAGTGATATTACCAAGGTAAAATTGACAGGACATAGCAAAAGACTAGATATTGGGAGGGAGGGTGGTGGTGAGAGAGTGAAAAGTAGAGGGTGATACCTCTGTTCTGAATTTAAATGACTGGGAAGATGGTGGAACCATTGACAGTAATAGGAAAGTTAGAAAGAGGGGAGGGTTTGAGAGGAAAGATGATGAGTTCAATTTTATACATGCTGATTTTCAGATGGCAACAGGACAGCCAGTTTGAGATGTCTAATAGTGATTGGAGACACAAGCCTGGAGGTCAGGAAAGAAATTAGAGCTGGCTGAGTAGATCTGAAAATCAGCTTAGAAATTATCACTGAAACCACAGAAGCTGATGAGATCACCAACTAAAATATATAGAGAAACAAGAGAAGAGGGCCCAGGACAGAGCCCCTGAATGGGGGATACTCATGGTTAGTAGGAGGACATAACTTGGATGAATATCTAGCAAAGAAAATAGAAGATCTGTGAGATAGGTAGGAAGAGAATCAGGATAGAGTAGTGTTATGGAAACCTAGAGATAAGAGGGTTTCAAAGATAGAGGGTAGTCCATAGTGCCAACAGCTACAAAAAAAGGTCAAGGATAAGGATTGGAAAAAGACCATTAGATTTGAGCAAAGATTATTAATCTTTTTTGTTTTTCATGGACCCTGTTGACAGTTGGGTGAGACCTATGGTCATTGGAGAATAATTTTTTTTGAAATTCATAATCAAAAATCATAATCACATTTAAAATTCATAATCAGAATTCATAATCAAAGGAAATGCTGAATCACAGTTAAAAGTTAGTGAAAATAAAGATGTAATTTTTTTCCCACTGGACCCTCTGAAGTCTCTTGGTCCAGGAGCCCTGGTAAATGGTAAAGGAGTCTCATAGTCATGAGGATTTGTTGAAAAAAGTTGATGATGTTTAATCTGGAGAAGATAAGATATTGTGGTATATGATAACTGTCTTCAGGCACTTGAAAGAAAAGAAATTAGTAGACTGGTTTTTGGCCTCAGAGGGCAGCCTGTTTCATAGGAACATTGAGTGGGAGTTGTAAAGAAGAAATTTAGCCTTGATTTTAAGAAAAAAAAATGTCTTAACAATTAGACATACCCCAAAGTGGAATGGACTGCATTGGGAAGTAATGAATTCCCTCTGATGGGAGGTCTTCAAGTAAAGCTGGACATCTACTTGGTCAGGTATGTAATAGAGGATTTTATTTTTCAGGTAGAGATCAGACTAGGGGATTGCTTTTTTTTAGTTGTTTTTCAGGTTTAGACTGAATTGGAAGTGTCTTCTAAGTCTGAAATTCAGTGATTCTGTGCTTCTGTGGTACTTTGGAGAAATATTAACTTCAGTACACATCAACAAATTGTTCATCTGGGGGCAGCTAGGTGGTGCAGTGGATAGAGCACTGGCCCTGGATTCAGGAGGATCTGAGTTCAAATGTGAAACACTTACTAGCTGTGTGACCCTGGGCGAGTCACTTAACCCCATTGCCTAGCCAAAAAAAAAAACCCAAAACAAATTGTTCATCAATAATGGGAAATTTGTTCAATCGGATATTTAATGTATATTCAGAAATTTAGTTCTAAGAACTCCTAAGTGTCATTCATACAATACAGTAATGTCTACAAAGGTATTCATACAGAGGGAATTGGATAGAGCCAAAGTTTCCATGACAGAGAGAGGATCAGCACTCAGACACCCACAGACAGACAGACAGACACTCACACATACACACACACACACACACACACAGAGCAAAAGAGAATTAGATGCTGCAATAACTGAAAAATATATATTATATATATATTTTTTCCAATTAAACAGTTTTCTTTACACTTCTCCCTCTCCAACTGAACAGTAAAAAGAAAAAGAAAACCCACCTAAATTATGCATAGTCAAGCAAAACAAATTCCCACCTTGGCTATCATTCTTCATTTTTGAATCCATCACTTGTCTGTCAGAAAGTGGATAGCATGTTTCATCTTTAATCCTTTGGAATCATGGTTCATCATTGCATTAATCAGAGTCCTAAAGCTTTCAAATTTATTTTTCTTTATAATATAATTGTCCTTCTATAGATTGTCATTCTAGTTCTTCTAGCTTCATTCTGTATCAGTTCATAGTGGCATTCTCAGTTTCTCCTAAAACGCTTCATTTTGTTATTTCTTAGGGCACAATAATATTCCATTGCATCATGCATTGTAACTTGTTTAGCCGTTCGTCATTAGATGGGCAGTTCTTTAGTTCTGTGCCACCACAAGAAAAGCTTCTAGAAGTACTTTTGTACCTGTGGGTCCCTTTCTTATTTCTTTAATCTCTCAGCCTACTAGTGATATAGCTGGGTCAGTTGGTGTACCTAGTTTAGTAACTTTTGGGGCATATTTCCGAATTGCAGCTCCACCAACAGCATTAGTGAGCAAGCTTGTTTCTCACAGCCCCTCCAAAGTTTGTCATTTTCCTCTTTCGTCAACTTTGCCAATCTGACAAGTGGTGAGATGAAACACCATAATTGTTCTAATTTGCAATTCTCTAGTTATTGGTTATGTGAAGTATTTTAATATGGTTGTTGATAGCTTTGTATTTCTTCATTTGAAGACTGTTATATGTTTTGACCATTTATCAATTGAAGAATGGTTATCATTCTTATATATCTGAATCATTTCTTATATATCTTGGGTATGACACCATTATTGGAGAAGCGTGCTGTGAAGATTTTTTTCCCTAGTTACTTGTTTCTTTTCTAATTTTAACTGCATTTGTTTTGGTTGTACAAAGCCTTTTTAATTTTATATAATCAAAATTGTCTATTTGATCTCTTGTGAACCTCTCTGTCTCTTGGTTGGCTGTGAACTCTATCCCTATTAGAAAGATTATACACTATGACCAGATTGGATTTATACCAGAAATGCAGGGTTAGTTCAATACAAGAAAGTCTGAAACTGAATAAGCCATAGTATAACAAATAATTTAAACCATATTTTTATATAAATAGATGTTGAAAAAGGTTTTGAGAAAACTTTTTTGTAAAGGTAATTTCTTTCTTCTTCTAATTTGCTTGTGACATCACCTTTTATGTTTAAGTAATGTATCCATTTGTAGTATATCTTATGAAATATTGCTCTGTACTTAATTTCGTCCAGACTCCTTTCCAGTTTTCTCAGCAGTTTTTGCCAACTAGTGTGTTCTTACTCCAGTAACAGGTCTTTGGATTTGTTGAACAATATGCAACTGTGTCTGTTTGCCTCTCTATGTTATGCATCTGATTTGTTCCATGGACCTACTTGTATTTATTAATTAGTACCAAATCATTTTAACGATTACTACTTTGAAATATAGTTTGAGATCTGGTACTGCTAGACCTCTTTCCTACTTATTTTTCTTTGCTTCCCTTGAGATTCTTAATCCTTTATTCTACCACAGGAACTTTATTATTTTTCTAGCCCTATAAAATAATCCATTAGTATCTTGATTGGCCTGGTACTGAATAAGTAAGTTAGTTTAGGAGTGTTGTCATTTTTTTTTATATGGGCCCAACCTATTCATGAGCAATTAGTAGTTCTACAAGTATTTAGATCTATATTCAAAACATTTTACAGTTGGATTCATGCAATCCCTCAATATGACTTGATAGGTACATTGCTAAATATTTCGTGTGTCCTTTAGTTATTTTTTAATAGGATTTCTCTATCTCTGCCTGTTGTTTTTTATATAATCAAAATTTTCCATTTTACCTTCTGTAGTCCTCTCTATTCTGATTGGTCATGAACTTTTCCCTAATTCATAGATATGACTGATTATTTCTTCCTTACACCTCTAATTTGTTTATGTTATCACCTTTTATGTCTAAGTCATGTACTCATTTGAAGCTTGTTTTAATATACCTAGAGAGCTGATGGGTTATACCTAGTTTATGCCAGACTACTTTCCAGTTTTTCCAATAGTTTTTGTTGAATGGTGAATTCTTGCTCCAATACCTGGTATTTGGGAAATAGAAAACACGAAGCTATTGTACTTGTTTGTTTCCATATATTCTGTACATTGTGTACCTAATTTATTCCACTGATCAGCATACCTATTTCTTACCCAAAACAAAATTGTTTCGATGATTATAACTTTGTAGGATAGTTTCAGATTTGGTATTACAAAGCCCCTTTCCTTCCTATTTTTTTTTCATTATTTTTCTTTAGATTCTTGACCTTTCATTCCTCCAAATAAACTCTGTTATTTTTTTCTAGTTCCATAAAGTAATTCCTGACAAACTGGCCTTTTTGCTCTTCCTAAACCATAGTGCTTGGACTCCCATTTCTGTATCTTTGTACTGACTGTCCGCTATGCCTAGAATACTTTCTACCTCTTGAAATCTCTCGTTTCTAAGACTCTGTTCCCCTCTCCTACATACCTACCCAGTTGCTAGTCCCTTCAAGGTTACCTTTTATCTATTTTTTACCTAAATAACATACATGTTATCACTTTCATTAGAATATAAGTTCCTTCAGTTCAAGGGACATTTCCCTTTTGTCTTTCCATCCCTATTATCAAGCACAGTGCCTGGCACATAGTAGATGCTTAGCCAATTCTTCTTGATTGAATTTTTGATCATTAATTCAATCAGAGAATGATAGATTTAAAATCAGAAGTTACCTAAGAAGCTGTCTAATCCAGTCTCTTACTAAAGGAACTGAAGTACAGAGAAGTTAAATGGCTTTGCCAAAGTTACATAGGTAATCATCACAGGTAAAATTTGAACTCAGGTCCTCTAACTCCAGAGCCAGTGCCTTTACTGCTATATCATATGCTACAGCCTGATTATGCAACCCTTTTTATTAATTAAAAGAGTCTATGTATCCAGTAAATAAAATGTAAACAAATCTTTTTTTCTTTAGAGTAGTGTCAAGCTTATTAATAGAAATCCTTACAGTAAAAGCATGACTGTTCTGTAGTGATCTCATTTTTAGATGGACACCTACATTTTAAAGTGACCATTAACTTATAAAACAGAGATTCAATTTGTTTCTTACAGAGCAGAAAGCATAGGAAACATCACAGCCCCTTGTAATTTGAGGTGTAATTGCTCTCGCTCATTTTATTATCCTGTCTGTGGAAGAGACAGTCTCCAGTATTTCTCTCCCTGCATTGCAGGTTGTACGTCTTCAAATACAATAGAGCATCAAAAGGTAATTCATTTTTAAAATATTTCTTCAGCATCAGTGAGGAACCTATCTTTTCAGGATATTTCTGGAGCTCAGGATCTACCAAATTTATGTAGAAATATATTTTGATTCGTTTTTTTTTAATTTACCTTTCTTCTTTTTAGAAGCATACCTTTGTTATGTAATATTTCCAAAGCCATATTATAGAGCAACAAGTTGAAAGTAGTAATGCAGGAGAGTAGGTTTTCAAAATGGGATTATTTTCTTCTGACCAGGTTTCCAACATTAGGAACATTAACAGCAATTAGTCAGTCTATAAGTATTTATTATGTACCAGGCACTGTACTAAGCACTGAGAATACAAAGAAAGCCAGAAGACAGTCCCTGTTCTGAAGGAGTTCACAGTCTAATGGGGGAGACAACATGCAAATAGCTATAAGATATATATTGGATAAATTAGAGATAATCAATAGAGGGATACTAGATACTAGCATTAAGTGGCATCAGGAAAAGATTCATGTAGAAGGTGGGATTTTAGCTGAGATTTGAAGGAAACCAGGAAAGCCAAAAGGTGGAGATTATGAGAGAGAGCATTACAGGCTTAGGTGAGAAATTCATGTTTGATCCTATAGATGATAGGGAGCCATTGGATTTTACTGGCTGTGTGTATGTGTGTGTGTGTTTGTGTGTGTATAAGAGGGCTGATATGGTCAGACCTATTCTTAGGAAAATCTCTTTGACAGCTGAATGGAGGACAGATTGGAATAGGGACAGATTTGAGGCAGGGAGATCAATTAGAAGGTCATTGCAATCAACTAGTTAAAAGGTCATAATGGCCTGTAACATGTTAGTAACTGTGTGAGTTGAGATAAAGGGATAATATGAGAGATGTAAAGGAAGAGATAACAAAACTTGACAACAAATTGAATATAGGGTGTGTTACTATATTCCCTATGTCTCTAAGATATGATGCAGTCTCCACAGCCTCACATTTAAAGTCTATTTGGAACCACTGAAAATTTTAAGCAGGGAAGTGACAATATCAAACATCTGCCTTAGAAAGATTATTTGGTAACTTGAGTGGAGAATGGTTTGGAGATGGGAGAGTCTGAAAGAAGGAGTCCATTTAGAAGACAGTTATAGTAGCTCGGGCAAGATATAAGGGCTTGGATTTGAGTATTGGCTATATGGCTAGAAAAAAAGGGATAGTTGCAAGGGATCTTGTGGAAATAGAACCAACAAGTCCAGATAAATGATTACATGTAGGAAGTAAAGCAGAGCAGAAAGTCAAGGATAATTCTGAGCTTGCTAAAGTAGGGTAACTTGAAAGTTAGTAGTGCTCTCAATAGAAATAAGGAAGTTTGGAGGAGACATTAGTTGAAGGAATGTGGATAGGGCATGGGAATGAATTCCATTTGGGAAATGTTGGGTTTGAAATATCTGTAGTACATCAAAATAGAGATATCTAAGCAAACAATTGTTAACGTGGATCTAGAATTAGGAGAGAAATAGAGTGTATATATAGGACTGGGAATAGTCTGCATTGAAATGATTGAGGTCATGGAAACTGATGAGATCATCGAGAGACTATAAAGAAGAGAAGTGAAAGGAGGAAGAGAGGAAAGGATAGGCCAGGACAGAAGAGGATCCAGGATAGAGACTTGGGGAAGAGCCAGGTTGTGGTACACTACATGGACATTATTCATTGACACTTCTAATTCCTCCCACCCCTCAGTACACTCTTAGGCCATTACCCCTACTCCACCTTTATTTTCCTCCTTCTCTAATCTTGACCCTATAGTTAGTCACTTCTCCTCTGCATCGTCCTTGGTTCTCAATTTCCTCAACCCCTTGTCCTGTTGCCATTCATCACTTGTCAGACTTCCCTGGATTCCTCCCACCATCTGCCTTCTCTGTCCCAGCTCATACAGCTGCACACAGCTATAGTGGCTAGATAGATGTATTATAAATTTGTGTGATCTAGCTTCAACTGGGCCCTGACTGTTGCAAGGGAATCCTTTTATTGTTCTCTAATTGATTCCCTCTCAAACCCCACAAAAACTATTCAGAATGTTTTCATTTCTTCTCAAGCCTCCCACAATCCTCTTCTCTCACCTTACTCATCTGAGGACCTCATCTCTTATTACTTTACTGATAAAAATTGAGTCCATTTCGATTTCTAATTATCCTATTCTCTTCATTTCAAAACATCTCGTCATCTCCCAGTCTCTCTTTCTTTCCCTTACCCTGACAGAGGTTGCTCTTCCCCTTGCCAAATATAAATCTTCTGTGTGTACCCTTGATCCCACTGTTTCCTGTGGTCTCCAGTAATTGCGATTTTAATTCATTCTTTCATTCTCTTTTTTTTCTTTCTGTCTATATATCTCACTGTCTCTGTCTGCTTCTCCCCTTCACTACTTACTTTTAACATGCCCATGTCTCCCCATCCTTAAAAAAAAAAAACCACACACTTCATTAGGCCCTCCCATTCTTTAAGCTGTCATATTATATCTTTCCTCCCTTCCTCAAGCCAAACTCCTTGAAAAATCTGCCTGTACCTGCTGTCTTTTCTTCATCTCTTACCAATTACTTCTCAACCCTTTGCAGTATAGCTTCAACCCTTATTACTCAGTTGAAACTGTTTTCTCCAAAGTTACCAATAACCCCTTAATTGCCAAATCTGGTCTTTTTTCCCCCAGCCTTATTTGTTGCTTTTAACACTATTGGCTATTCTCTTGTCTCTAGGTTTTTGCAATATTACACTCATCTGATTCTCCTCTTACTTATCTAATCAGGTTTTTTTTTTCTAGCCTCTCTTCTTAATCTTTGTTGACCTTATCAGCTCCCATGAGTCTAATTATAATCCCTATTCCAGTTGTCAAAAATCTATATATCCAGCCCCAGTCTCTCCTCTGAGCTTTGGTCCTTCATCATCAATTGCCAGTGGAATATCAAGCTGGATGTTCCATAGACATCTCAAAGTGAATATGTCCAAAACAGAAATTATCTTGCCTGCCTTTCTACCCCTTCCCATCCCCACTTGTTTTTTCGAACTTCCGTATTTCTGTCAAGGAACCACAATTCTTATAAGTCTGCTAGGTTCATAACCCTAGTGTTAGTCCTTGATTCTTCATTCTTATTCACCCCTCATATATAAGAAGTTGCCAAATCTTGCCATTTCTGCCTCCACATCTCTATTATATGACCCCTTCTCCCACAACTACTACCTTAGTTCAGGTCCTCATAAACTCTTACCTAGATTATTTCAATGACATCCTAATTATTTTCTCTGTCTCAAATCACCCCCTATTCCAGTCCATCCTCTGTACTACTGCCAAAATAGTTTTCTTTAGGCACAGATCTGACCATCTTACTTCATGTTCAATTTATTAGCTCCCTATTAACTCCAGGGTAAAATATAAATTCCTCTGTTTAGCTTTTAAGACCATTCACAATCTTTCCCCAACCTATTTTGATAGGCCAATTTTATATTAGTCTTCCTCTCACACACTTTAAATTCTTCCAAACTCATCTCTCTGTTCCTCATACATTATATTTTATTGCCTATCTCCATGCTTTTGAAAAGTTATTCCTTATTCCTGATATTCTCACTCTTCACCCCCACTTTATAGAATTTTTTCTTCCTTCAAAACATAACAAGCACCAAGTTCTACATGAGTCCTTTCTTGATCTTCCCCCAACTACTACTGCCTTGCCTCTCAAACTGCGTTGTAGTCTACTACCTCATATTTCTCTTTTTTTTTTTTGGCTAGGCAATGGGGTTAAGTGACTTGCCCAGGGTCACACAGCTAGTAAGTGTTATGTGTCTGAGGCTGGGTTTGAACTCAGGTCCTCCTGAATTCAGGGCCAGTGCTCTATCCACTGCGCCACCTAGCTGCCCCTCATATTTCTAACTTTTAATAATTATTCTGTATGTACTCATATGTATTTGTTGGCTCCCCCATTAGAAAGTAAGATCCTTATAGGATATTAGAGGTTATTGATTCTAACCCTTTAGTGTCTGAGGTAGGATTTGAACTCAGGTCTTTCTGACTCCAAGCCCAGTGTTCTATACCTGTGACATTTAGCTGTCTCCTTTTGAGTAGGGATTTTATCATTTACTAAATTTGTATTTCTAGTACTTAGCACAGTGCCTGATACAGAGTAGTTCTTAATAAATACTTGTCAATTGATGGACTAATTGCTTCAGCAAAGAGGATTGATAAGGATAAGAACCATGAGAGCACATTGTCCCAAAAACCAAGATCTGCAAGCATATCTACCAGTGGTTGAGACTACTAGTTATTGTGGAGATCGGATAGGGAGAGGACTGGGAAAAGGCAGTTAAGAAGTCTTTGGCAGCCTTGGAGAGAGCAACTTTAGTGTAACACTGGAGTTGCAGACCAAATTGCAGAGTTATAGATCATAGAATCTCAGACTTGAGAAGAATCTCCACATCAATTTGGTGCAACTCTTATATGAACAAAACTCCCCACTAAACACTGAACAACTAGCTCTCCAGCCTTTTCATGAAGACCTCCATTACTCTCCAAGACAACCTCTTCTAGTTTTGAATAGCTCTCATTTGCCTTTCTGCAACTTCTACTCATTGTTCCTAGCTCTTTTCTCTAGGGTCAAGCAAGTATTTCTTCTGTATTATAAACTTTTTGATGTTCAGAACACATTGCCCTCCCTAAAAAACAATACCAAGAATTTAAGGATAGTGCTCCACATGTTGTCTGTCCTGGTATAGTGGCACTATCATATCCATTATCTTAGACACTGTTACCTCTCCTAATGCACCTTAAACATTTCACTCCTTATTTTTGATTCTCATATCACTTTACTCCCTGGTCATCTCCTCTCTAGACACCTTGCTGCTCAGACCACAGACCATGCCCTGGAGGGCTTGATGCTCTCATTTCTAGAACTACCGTCCTGGGGCCTCACTATGCTGATAACCACTATGTTAAGATAGGTCAGCTCCAGCAAGGCCTCATTTTATTTCCTGGACATCTCCTGAA